AATATATAATATATATATATAGTATTATATATATATAATCTATAATATATATATATATATATATATATAATGGGGTCCACCTTCTGTGTAAATTGGTGGGACGCCCACAGCCTCGAAGACGTGGTATAAAAAGGCTCAAGGAAGAATAATTGGATTTCTTTCCGTGAAGCCGTTTTGAATATTCCTACTTCCCCTACCACCCCGATCCTTTTAGATGTATATTTTTTGTTACCAATAGGAATAGTTTTACTTAACATAATATGTACAAGAAGATTTAAGAGATACATTGTTGATATAAAGTCTTGGCTATACTGGTACATTTGTTACGTGTGTTATCACCGATTATAAGGCGAAAATCTCATCCAGGCTCCTCAGAGCAGGGGCGTGTGGCCCAAAATAAAGCAGGCCAATACCCCTTAGAACAGCCTGCACTGAGCCGCTGGAACAGAAAACATATCTGCCCTGGGATCCCTAGTTTACCCTGGATGAGTCTTTTTTTGTCCCAGCTCCTTCAAGGGAATTTTAGATGCAACTCTTTCCGCCATGAGCAGATGTCTCTGAGACCTAAAGGAACAAACATATAATTGATGTGAGCAATGTTCTCCATATTTTCTTTTTCTAGACTTATGGGACTCCCTGAGCTGGTGCAGCTGCCCCTCCTTCCTTCACCTAGGTGTATTGGAGATAGGTATCGAGCACAAGGTAGATGCACGATGTACTAGTCCCACAACCAACCAGTGCTTCCCATCTGTCCAGGCTTGAAGGTGATACCATCTGGACGCTTCTGGCTGGCCATCAGATCTGCATAGTTGGGTGGCTCTCTTACTGCTTGGGCATTCCACTGTTTGTGAAGGCTCTCTTGGTAATCTCTTAATAACCTCCTCATGTCTTGCAATCTTTTCCCCGATTTACGGCACACAAGCCGCCCGCCAAGGTACCGCAAATCGGTCTGCTGCTTCACTGGCACAAATTAACACCTGTGTTCGCGAGAATAGGGGCGGCAAGTCGAAGGGGCAACACCGAGCTGGATGGTCTGTGGGTCGAGGGCCATGTGCCAAGGCTGGAGTTGGGAACAGCCAACAGATAGTCCCCAGCATGAGGGGCTCTCACTGCCAGGAGCGGGCTGCGGCTGCTATCCTTCCCCTGATACACTCTGAAAGCAATTTTTTTTTGTGGGTTGAGGCAATATTTTCCACTATGGACCATCCCATGCGATGTTTTGTAGTTGTTTGGGGGAGGCAGGGACTGGTTCAGAGCCACGTTTAGATTAACCCAGATCATTGCTCCGTCAATGAATATTTGGTCCTTGACTCCAATCTTGTCCCTAAGAGTTTGTCCAGTGAGAAGTCAATGGCTACAAGAGCTCTGCTGTATGACAATACACGAGTACAGAAAAGTGCAAGGTATTTGTATGCAATCTTGTGCATGACTTTGCGGAACAACCAATGACCCTCCTAGTCTGACTGAAGTGTAGCATGGGTTCCACGCCGTCTTCTAGAGTAAGGTTAAGTACTTTCGTAAAAATCTGCTCAAATACTGTCCATATTCGGTGCAGTATAGGGTTAACAATGAAGGTGCACATCTTAGGAAATAAGTCTCAAACCTGGGGCAGACTCCAAGCACTTTGTGAGAAGGTACAGGCATCTGTGGTGTCCAGATTGACTATTCATACTTGCGTTCCTATCTTCCCTAACTCTTCCAATTTCTTTCCTGGAGAATTGTGTCATGCATTCTGGTCCCAGAGGTGCGTCCTAGCAAGACGCTATTTTGTGGGCAAATGACTGCTGCCCTGGTAGTTATTGATCTCACATGCAATTTATCACTTGTTTGACTGACTGAGATATTTCAACATTTGAGATGGATTCAGGATGAGACCCATTTCCTGTCCCCGTGCATTAACGCTGTGTAAGGTCATGTAGGAGGGACACCTTTGTACCTGTGCTAGTGGGCCTCATCTAGGAAACCAGATGTTAAGCTCGCTGGTCAGTCCTGAAACTGTATTTCCCTAACTGCTATACAGAAGAGAAATGGTGACAAGAGGGATCTCCATTTTGGACACCCACACGATATGTGGATATCATGCTCTCCTAAGAGAATGCATTGATACACCTTGCTACATAACCCGCTGCTGAAACAATAAGGAAGAGACCAGGAAATGTTCTTGTACTGCTGCTAATACCAACGTCTCCTTTTCAGGAGAAATGAACACATTCTGTGAAATCTAATGTTTAACCACTGGGCATTGTGTCCCTGCAGGCAGGTGTTGTTGATAAACGCCCTTGTTCATGAACCGCTGCTGTCACTCCCTTGAGAGATACCCCAAATCCAAGCGGATTTGGTTGAAGCATCATGGATGCCTGTGCACGAATACTCGGACGCAGCTTTGAGTACGGAGGCGGGCGTAACGTGTTTGCCTACTGCAAGTTGGCCGAATTCTCATCCTTCTTTTTAAGGCACAAAGTTTTCAACCAAAAAAGAAAGGTCAAATTTCATCCAGGAA